TACTTATTTAATCCTCACAAATCTGGTGAGGGGTAAACACTAGTAACTCTTTGTTATAGATGACCAGACAAGACCAGAACATTGAGTAACTGGCCCTAAATCTAGTAAATGACAGAGCTGTAAATTAGATAGTGAATTTCTGGTCCTTTTGACCTCTGGTCCTTTGCCCTTACTGTTGTCTCTCCAGTTTGACAGGGCTGACTTTCAGATTTTCAGAATGTCTCATGATTCACCGGGATACACTCTCTCCTTGCCTCTGAGGTATTCTTTCTGTCCCAACTCCCCGGAATGTCTTTCTCTTATCCTTTGCATGAAAAATCCATACTTATTTAATCTTCACAAATCTGGTGAGGGGTAAACACTAGTAACTCTTTGTTATAGATGACCAGACAAGACCAGAACATTGAGTAACTGGCCCTAAATCTAGTAAATGACAGAGCTGTAAATTAGATGTCAGGTTACCATCTACTCCATTTTCTAGAATCCAGGGGACTTTGTGATTAGTTTATGATTATTTGATTGTTTGGCCCTTACTTTTCACTGGAATTCCTTCATATTAAAGTTTGTTCCAAAGGAAACAAAGCTAAGATTTCCTGGTGCTGCTGCCGCCCCTGACATCACCTCTGGCCTATTCTCCAGGTAGCAACCAGCCCTGAGTGGTCCTCTGAAAATGCACAGCTGACCAAGGCATTCCAGTGGCCCTACTCACACCCTGGGCTACACCCCCTTCATAACTGACTTCCCACTACTTTGAGGAAAGTCATCAATCTCCCCACAATTGTCTACATGAGCTTTCTTGCTGTGCTTCTTGCCTGTCTGTCCAGCCTCATCTCACACTACCCCACCTCCCCCTTATTTCACTCTGGCCACGCTGACTTCCCCTCCCTGCTTTGGACCCAAAATGCTCTCTCTTTCCTGAATGTTCTTCCCTCTCTTCTTGTTGTCCACACTGGTGATCCAATTCAAAAGGCAGGTTTCCCATGCCCCGACCCAAAACCATTTAACACTCTTCTTTATACACTCTACATATTATCTGACAAAAGACATATAAATACTGAAACATATCAAGAGTGTCCAATTGGGTAGTACCATTAAAAATGAAGAAAATTGGTAATTATTATCTAGAAACTCCAAAATTGGCCCTGGTATTTTGTGATAGTGGCTGGATTGAAGAGCCTACTCTTTTTTTGTTTGTTTTTCATTTTCTTGATTGGAGCAATCAATCTTTGCTGTGCAGAAGCCTTCCAGTTGCCTTCCTATACGTTACCAACAAACTACCTGAAAAGGAAATTAAGAAAACAATCCCATTTACAATAGGATAAAAATCAAATTACTTGAGGAAAAAACTTAAGGAGGTGACTTATACATTGAAAATTATGAAACACAGGTGAAAGAAATTAAAGCACACACAAATAAATGGAAAGACATTTCATATTTATGATTTGAAAGAATTACTTTTGTTTAGATGTTTATACTGCCCCAAATTATCTACATATTCATGTAATCCTTATCAAATTCTCAATGACATTTTTTACAGAAAAAAAAATTCTAGAATTTGTGTAGAACCACAAAAGACTCTGAATAGCCAACGCAATTCTGAGCAAGAAGAACAAAGGTGGAAACCTCACACGTCCTGATTTCAAAATAAGTTATAATGCTACAGTAATCAAAACAATGTGGCACTAGCATAAGAACAGATATATGGACTGATGGAACACAATAAAGAGTCCAGAAAAACCCATACTTATATGGTCAACTGACGTTTGGCAAAGCTGCCAGGAATACACAGTGAGGAAATGATGCTATTAATAGTCTCTTCAATAATGGAGAAAACTGGACATTCACATGCCAAATCATGAAATTTGATCCTTTTCTTACCCCATACAAAAAAATTATTAATAATTCAAGAAGGATTAGAGACTTAAATATAAAAGCTAAAAGTAGAGGGAAAGATAGGCAAAAACTCCTTTATATCAATTTTGGCAATGACTTCTTGAACATGACACCAAAAGTGCAGGCAATAAAAGCACTTCTATACAGCAAAGTAAACAATCAACAAAATAAGAAGACTTTTAAATTTTCATGAGGAAGAACCCACTTTTAAAAGGGCCATTCCATTTTCTGGGCTCCTTATTCATCTAGTGTATCCTATATATCGCCTGACCTGGTACTGAGTGAGCGCTTAGTAAAATTTCCTGATATACTTATTACTGGTTGCTCAGTTGACCAGTAAATACAATGAAGCCTGGTGTAGTGCAGTCCATGGAGTCACAAAGAGTCAGACATGACTGACCGAACAACAACAAAGTTCACCGGTAAATACCATGTATTCATTACATCCTTTTTTGAAAACAGTTTAACAGTTTCCTCAACAACTAAACAGGCAACTACCATACAACCCAGCAATTGCACTCCTGGACATTCATTCCAGAGAAATTAAGACTTATGTTCACATAACCTGTCCACAAAAGTTGATAGCAGCTTTATTCACAATATCTAGAAATGAGCCAGATGTCCTTCATCTGGTGAATGGTTGAACAGACTTTGGTACATCCTCGCTCAGCAATAAAAAGCTAATGGAGGGAGGTCCAAGAGGGGGGATGGACGTATACATACAGCTGATTCACTTCATTGTACAGCAGAAACTAACAGAACATTGTAAAGCGATTATACTCCAATTAAAAAATGAAATTCTGGGGAAAAAAAGAATGCACAGGAATGCACATGACTCTACAGAGAACAACGCTGAGTGAGAAAATCCTATCCCAAAAGGTTTTTAAACGTGTGTTTCCATTTATACAGCATTCTTGACAGCAATGGAGAACAGATTAGAGATTGCCAGGAGCTAATAGGGTCGGAGAAGGCAATGGCACCCCACTCCAGTACTCTTGCCTGGAAAATCCCATGGACGGAGGAGCCTGGTGGGCTGCGGTCCATGGGGTTCCTAAGAGTCAGACACGACTGAGCGACTTCACTTTCACTTTTCACTTTCATGCACTGGAGAAGGAAATAGCAACCCGCTCCAGTGTTCTTGCCTGGAGAATCCCAGGGACGGGGGAGCCTGATGGGATGCCGTCTATGGGGTCGCACAGAGTCGGACACCACTGAAGTGACTTAGCAGCAGCAGCAGCAAGAAGAGGGTAGGGGTGGGAGGGCAATGGGTGTGATTATGAAAGGGCAACATGAGGGACCCTGTGGTAATGGAAAGGTTCTGTATCTCAACTATGTCAGTGCCAGCATCCTGGTTCAGATATTATTATACTATGTAGATCATCCAAATGTTACTGGTGGGGAAACGTGGGTAAAGGGTACAGGGGAACTGTCTGTATTCTTTTTTACAAATGCATGTCACTACACAATCATCATAATTAAAATTTTAAAAAGGACACATTTAATAAACTGTAGGTATCACACCAAGATATTCACAAGCACATAATAACTGCTGAGCCACAGATGTCTTCTTTACTCTCTTTCCTGGTGGTTTGTTGGTTATTGATTATTCCTAAGGATTTTTTTTTCTTGTATTTAAGACACATGATATTGATCATTCTTAGGGTATTTTTGCAGTATTTGAGGTTTATTATTTTAGAATCTTCATTTTTATACCCCTCTGTTGCTTTTCATGTGTTACGTTACTCTGATATGTTTCTGTCCTAAGATACCATTTATAGAATTGTTGGTTTATACTTGGTCTCCGGCAGTACCAAAACCTAAGAAGGTCTTTATCATCTTCATAAGTCAAGGAAAAGTAGCACTTCTGCCATCTGTCACTTTAAATCTCCTCTTCTGGTCCTCAAGATTCCCTGAGTTCAGTGTTAATATTATGCTTGAACAGGTTGTCATTTTTCGGAGATCTTCAAATGATTGTGGTTCAAATTTTTCTTTAGTTCTTTCATCTCTTTACCATTTCTGTTCCAGAGTTATACATCGTCTGGTATTTATTTCCACTCTGTTTTCTGTTATCTTTGCCTAATGTAGTTAATTTCAGTTTTGACTTTTTTTTTATTCCAGGTATTGAAGTGATCACAACTGTTTCTCAGTTCAGTCCAGTTCAGTCGCTCAGTCGTGTCTGACTCTTTGCGACCCCATAATCACAGCACGCCAGGCCTCCCTGTCCATCACTAGCTCCCAGAGTTTACCCAAACTTATGTCCATCAAGTCAATGATGCCATCCAACCATCTCATCCTCTTGTCCCCTTCTCCTCCTGCCCCCAGTCCCTCCCAGCATCAGGGTCTTTTCCAATGAGGCAGCTCTTCGCATGAGGTGGCCAAAGTATTGGAGCTTCAGCTTCAACATCAGTCCTTCCAATGAACACCCAGGACTGATCTCCTTTAGGATGGACTGGTTTCATCTCCTTGCTGTCCAAGGGACTCTCAAGAGTCTTCAACACCATAGTTTCAAAAGCATCAATTTTCGGCACTCAGCTTTCCTCACAGTCCAACTCTCACATCCATACATGACCACTNACTGGAAAAACCATAACCTTGACCAGACGGACCTTTGTTGGCAAAAGAATGTCTCTGCTTTTTAATATGCTATCTAGGTTGGTCATAACTTTTCTTCCAAGGAGTAAGTGTCTTTTAATTTCATGGCTGCAATCACCATCTGCAGTGATTTTGGAGCCCAAAAAAATAAAGTCTGACACTGTTTCCACTGTCTCCCCATCTATTTCCCATGAAGTGATGGGACCAGACGCCATGATCTTAGTTTTCTGAATGCTGAGCTTTAAACCAACTTTTTCACTCTCCTCTTTCACCTTCATCAAGAGGCTTTTCAGTTCCTCTTCATTCTCTGCCATAAGGGTGGTATCATCTGCATATCTGAGGTTATTGATATTTCTCCTGGCAATCTTGATTCCAGCTTGATGTACTCTGCATAACTGCTTCTACTGTGATACAGATCCTTGCTCAGAGAGTCCACAAATGCTGTTTGGAATTTTGAGTGAGAAGAGCAAGACCGGTACTAATGCTGACTTTCTTTTTGCTTTCTTTTTCAGTGACTACAGAAAAAATCCAGGAACATATCACCAACCAGGTATTTCCTCACTTCTCATAAACTGGGATATAGAATTTTGCTTCAAATGTTAATAATTAATTATTTGTAAATATTTTTAAAAGGAGGCATTGCTAGTTATTGGGTATGAGCGATACACATCTTACTGGTTCTGAGAACAAATAAATTGATCATATATGGGTGATTGTGCACTTCCCTGTCTCCTCCACCTCATTCCTCCCCTCCACACCATCTTTCCCAAGGATGGGCTCTGCCAGCTCTGATGTAAGCAGCCCTCAGAGCATGTCATGACCTCTGCATTGATTCTAGCATGGCTGCGAAGAGATACTTTTATCTACTTCTCCCTTAACTAAGGTGACTGTCCTCTGTGGTTTTCCCAAGTTCTAATTCATCCAGTCATTCCCTCCCCAACAGTTAAGAACTAAAGCCTTAGCCATGGAAACGTACAAGTTGGTTTTCTATCTGGTCTCTGATTTCTACCTACATGTAGCCAGTGCCTTCCTGCCTGCCTCACTGTTTTCTTATCCAGTCTTTTTCTTTATTAATTTTTTATATTTACCAGGAGATGGAGTCATTCTGTACAACAGCTTAAGGGGTTTAAGGCATGCAGCTATAGATCCCAACCAAGTTTGACCAGCCTTGCCCCACCTCACCCTCTTTCCATGGGCCAATCTGGCTGTAGTGTTTCCCGATGCTGCCACTAGACCCAGGGGACGCAGACACCAGCCTGTAGCAAAATATACCCAGCTTTCATTCACAGACACACATCTCCAAGTCTCGTTGTTGTTCTCCTCTGGCATAAATTGCACCCCATCCTTGTAAGGGGAAGAATGGTTCATCTACATTTCTACCAGTCAAGGGTACAGTTTTCAACGCCTCCTCCTAATGGACTTCAAAATAAATTCCAATTCTGGTTCCCATTGTCATTCCAACCGAAGTAAGTTCTAGCTCTACCTAATCTGTGCCAGATGCCCTGTAATTCACCGCTTAAAAAATTGTCCTTTCATTTGACTGACATCCTATATTGCAAATTCAGTAGGCAAAATTTAATGCTTATCGGGTACCATTTTGCTTTTGAATAGAACTGTAAATAATGACTCAGTCGTAGCCATCTTAAAAACTTGAAAATGCCATCCCCATGTAATGTTAAAGTCAGTCATCTCAAATATTTATTTGCTCATTGAGCTTAGTCTCTTTAGCATCGTATTTCAACTGTTTGTATATACTCAAGTGGCTTGGTGAGGTTGAGCAACAGTGAACCAGTAAAGTTCATTGTTACCATTTTGTTTATTTAAGTCACAGAGGGAACATTTTTCCTTATAAAGAGAACTGTTTTCTTTATTAACAAGGTAAAACAGTTGGTAATAAATATATTAAGACTTCTTCTCAGGGGTAGATTTTCATTTCCTGTCTTTTCTTTCTTTTGTACCCTTGGCTAAACAATAGATCCCAACCAAGTTTGACCAGCCTTGCCCCACCTCACCCTCTTTCCATGGGCCAATCTGGCTGTAGTGTTTCCCGATGCTGCCACTAGACCCAGGGGACGCAGACACCGGCCTGTAGCAAAATATACCCAGCTTTCATTCACAGACACACATCTCCAAGTCTCGTTGTTGTTCTCCTCTGGCATAAATTGCACCCCATCCTTGTAAGGGGAAGAATGGTTCATCTACATTTCTACCAGTCAAGGGTACAGTTTTCAACGCCTCCTCCTAATGGACTTCAAAATAAATTCCAATTCTGGTTCCCATTGTCATTCCAACCGAAGTAAGTTCTAGCTCTACCTAATCTGTGCCAGATGCCCTGTAATTCACCGCTTAAAAAATTGTCCTTTCATTTGACTGACATCCTATATTGCAAATTCAGTAGGCAAAATTTAATGCTTATCGGGTACCATTTTGCTTTTGAATAGAACTGTAAATAATGACTCAGTCGTAGCCATCTTAAAAACTTGAAAATGCCATCCCCATGTAATGTTAAAGTCAGTCATCTCAAATATTTATTTGCTCATTGAGCTTAGTCTCTTTAGCATCGTATTTCAACTGTTTGTATATACTCAAGTGGCTTGGTGAGGTTGAGCAACAGTGAACCAGTAAAGTTCATTGTTACCATTTTGTTTATTTAAGTCACAGAGGGAACATTTTTCCTTATAAAGAGAACTGTTTTCTTTATTAACAAGGTAAAACAGTTGGTAATAAATATATTAAGACTTCTTCTCAGGGGTAGATTTTCATTTCCTGTCTTTTCTTTCTTTTGTACCCTTGGCTAAACTAATAGAGTATGCAGACATTAAAACAGAACACCAAATATTTACTCATAATCTTAAACATGGATTTGGTGCCAGATAAAAGCATCATGTCTCCCGGTTCCAGTAAAAGAGTGAAATTCTTTAGTCTTTAGAGGTAAGGGTCTTGAGTGTATTAGTTATATAGTCATTTTCAGGACAGATAGTTGTATTGTTCAGTCAGTGTCTGCCAACTGGTATTTCTGATTCTACAATGGAATTTCTGATCTTCTTGCACATAGGGAGGTGCTCCCCACTCTCAAGAATACACCAGGAGTGCTCTGTGATGATATAGAGGGGTAGAGTCAGAGGTGGGAAGGGGGCTCATGAGAGAGGAGTTGTATGTGTACTTACGGCTGATTCACGTTGTTGTATGGCAGAAACCAACATAACATTGTAAAGCAATTTTCCTCCAATTAAAAATAGTTTTTAAAAAAAAAAAGAACAAAATAAACAACAAAAAAGAATGCACTGGGAATATAATTCTAAAAGGCATCTTGAAAGGTGAAAGTCGCTTGGTCATGTCCGGCTCTTTGAGACCCCATGGACTATACAGTCCATGGAATTCTCCAGGCCAGAATACCGGAGTGGATAGCCTTTCCCTTCTCCAGGGGGTCTTCCCAACCCAGCAACTGAACCAGGGTCTCCTGCATTGCGGGCAGATTTTTTACCAACTGAGCTATCAAGGAAGGCCTTATACCTCTTATACCTCTAATTTATCTTATACCTCTTATAAAAGCCATCTTATACCTCTAATTTATCTAAAGTCTGTCAAAGAGCCACAAAATGAAGTCACTTCTTTTTTAATTATTTTTAAATTGAGGTATAATTGACATATAACATTATATTAGTTACATATATTTGTTATAATTAGTATATTAGCAATATACTGATTACATACATTAGTCTGTATAGTATATACAAAACATAATGATTCCATATTTGTTTATTCTCTGAAGTGATCTCCATAGTAAGTCTAGTTCCCATCTGTCACTATCCTAAAGTTACAAAACATTTTTTTTTTCTTGTGATGACTTTTAAGGTTTACTCTCTTTGGTTCAGTTCAGTCGCTCAGTTGTGTCCGACTCTTTGCGACCCCGTGGACTGCAGCACGCCAGGCTTCCCTGTCCATCAGCAATCCCAGAGTTTACTCTCTTAGCAACTTTCAAACACACAATATGATAGGATTGACTATAATCACTGTGCTGTCCATTACAGCCCCAAGACTTATTTGCTTTATAACTGGAAGTTTGTCCTTCTTCATCCACACTCCCTTTCTGATACCCAAAGAATTTGACTCTTATAAAACATGTCTATATACTCACTCTGGCTAATCAATACAGAGTTCTTTATCGGAAAAGAATGTAAAATAGAACACTGGTGCGCGTTAATCTTGCCCCGAAATCCTTCCCCACTAGGCACTATAGATTGTGTAATTAAATTGAAATTGAAAATCAAGTCCTGTTGTTGGCTTTGTTTTTGTTTTTTTTTCCCCATTAAGCAATCTCCAAGCTGCACACCAACATGAGAAATCAGGACTGGAGCAGAGGGGAAGTTCTTGCCTGCTGGCTAATATCCAGCATGCATTTTTAGCCCATGGCTATTTTACCACACCTGAGCTCAGAGAACAAACAACTATTTGAGCTCTCTGGAGGGAACACTGGATTCTTTCCTGTGTAATTCACTGGGGAAATTAGTATGCTTTTTTCAAGTAACTTGTTAACGCAGCTTGTTTACGAGAAGAGGACAAAAATGAGCAGTGAACCGCTTGGCAGAATGAGATGAATGCATGACCCATTTTTTTTTTTCAGCTGTCCCTTTGGCAGTTCAATACTGCCATGATTTCCTCTCTGAAAAATGTGCCTTGTAGAGATGAAATCTGTAGATTTCCCCATAATTTCGACTATGGTAGATTAAAGATAATACCTTAAAATACTACCCAGAATACCTTCCAAATCAAAGTAGAAAATGGTTAGTACCAGAATGGGAATACATAAAGCCTTTTGACTTAAGATTTAAAAATTGCCTTCTTATATAGTAGGCAGTTGAAACCTGTAGTAAATGGAATACTTTCTGTTTGTGCCTTTTGGATAGTAGATCATTAGAACCAGTGGAGAATGAATACTTTGTTTTTATATTGTGCTTTGTTTCCTAGTCCTGTCCAACTCTTTGTGACCCCATGGACTGTAGCCTTCCAGGCTCCTCTGTCCATGGAATTCTCCCAGCAAGAATACTGGAGTGGGTTGCCATTCCCTTCTCCCAGGGATCAAACCCAACCCAGGAATCAAACCCGACCCAGGAATCGAACCTGGGTCTCCTGCGTTGCAGGCAGATTCCTACTTCTATTGAAGTATAGTTGATTTACAATTTTTTTTAATGACTGGTTTACAATGTTGTGTTAGTTCTGCTGTACAGCAAAGTGAATCAGCTCTAGGTATACATATATCCCTCTTTTTTAGATTTTTTTTTCCCATATATGTCATTACAGAGTATTGAGTGGAGTTCCCTGTGCTACAGTAGGTCCTATTAGTTATCTATTTTATACATAGTAGAGTGTATGTGGCAATCCCAATCTCCTAATTTATCCCTTCCCTCCCCTTACCTGCCTGGCAACCATAAATTTGTTGTCTACATCTGAGACTCTGTTTCTGGTTTTGTAAATAAGTTCATTGGTACCATTTTTTTAGATTCCACATATAAGTAATATCATATGATGTTTGTCTTTCTCTGTTTCACT